AAAAAAAAAACTGACAACGCTTTGAGGGTTACTGCATCCTCCAAAAGCCAGGTATTTCATATTCTGCTGAAATTCTGCTGGAATCGAGCAAAACATCAGGCCTCCACTAGGGGGTGCCAGGGCCCCAGTCAGGCCAGGGCGGGTTGGGGCGCTAGAAGATCTATGCGCGTGGGTGTCACTGGATGGTAGGATGTGAAAACTAGGACAGGCTTGCCAGGCAGGTGGACTCTACTAGAGGGATCTAGGGGTGCATGGGCTTTGGAGCGGCCCAAAACTCCAGGGAGGGGAACCCCGGCCTGCAGAGAGTCCGAGGATGTCCCCAGGAAGGGACGCTGAGGCTTCGGGGGTGTCACCCGGGCCCGTGGTCCAACAGCGTCTGGGGCTCAAGCCTGGGACGCTGCCGTCTGGTCTTCCGGGCCGAGGGGGCGTGGTCATCTTTTGGGTGTGGCTTCCATCGGGGGCGTGGTCGTCTCGGGGTGTGGCTTGCATCAAGGGCGTGGTCTCGCCGGCGCGGAGCGCGCCGGGCGGCGTTGGCGGGAAACCGGCGCTGGGCCCCGCCGTCGCGCGACCCCATCCCTGTCCTGGTCCCCCGCTGATCAATCCTGGGCCTAGCCATGGACGCCTCGGAGCCGGGTAGGGAGTCTGGGATGAGGGATTCGGGTGGGACCTCCCCCGATCATCCTCCTGCTTCCTAAATTGAGGGGCCCCGCCTGTCCCTGTTCTTCCCGAGAGCAGAGGAGTTCCTGAATGGGAAGGACGCAGGGATCCTCCGTGGTGCGGAGCCCCACATCGGGAGGGGTTCAGGCCACCAGCCCCTTGACTCCCCCATCCCCCTCTGGAGCTTTCACCCCGGACGCCTGGGGGAGGGGGCCCAGGAAGGGGAAGTGGCCGCTTCTGCTTCTGATTTTTGTGATGGGGGCTGGGTGTCACGACCGACCGCTGATGGAGAGGGTAACGCAGCAGGAGCCCTTCGGGGGCTCCTCCGTAGCCTCAGGGAGTCAACAGTGCTGGACTGAACCCCCCTAGAAGGGGGTCGTGGGCGGCGAGGCAGCAATGTGGCCAGGTCTCACTTCTTGTTTCCGGCTGTCTTTGTGTATGCTTGAATGTCATTCTCTCTTTATGTGCAATGCATCCGTGTGTGTGTGTGTGTGTGTGTGTGTGTGTGTGTGTGTGTCAGCTGCACGTTCTCTGCCCTTCTGTCCCAGCCTGCCTGTCTGTCCCACGTGCATTTCCATCTGTCTGGCCTGGGGTCCATGTGATTCCATTGTCAAGCCCAGCCCTCTCTCCAGGGACAGTATAGCTGCATCTGGGGCTTCCGTTGTGTTGCTTTGCCTCGGGGTCCGCGCCTGTGTGGGTGTCTCTGCGCCTCCGAGCAGCTGTTGGCTTATGTCTGAGTCCATCTGCCTGCCCCTAGTTGACCCCACCCTAAGCCCCATTCTCTCTTCATCCCACACTCCCCACTGGCCAAGACGCTGTCTCTTTCCGCCCCCTCTAAATGAGTCCAGTGAGTAGAGGGAGGCAGTGGTTGGCCTATGTATGACAACACTCCCTTCCCCAGGGCTCCCCCCGGCTCCCGAAGGCAGGAAGAGGTACAGTGATATCTTCCGGAGCCTGGACAACCTTGAGATCTCACTGGGGAACGTGTGAGTCTGAGCCTGGGTCACCCCTGTACATCCTGCCAGGGTCCCCAAAACCACTAACCATTTAGGTTCCCTGAAGCGCCCTTTGGAATCTGCATTGACCTGAGAAATCTAAGATGGGACCCTCCAAAACACCTGCATAGCCCAAAAGTTATCTCCCACCCCAAATCGACTGGAAATGCCCCCCAAATGGTCCTAGAACTCCCACAGATAACCTTCTTAGGAACCCTTCAAACATTGGAGAGACCTATAATCTCATCTCTGTTATTCCCAAAGTTACCTGGAGCCCCTACAGACCCTTTTTCAAGTTCTATAAAAAACCTTAACTGAGGGACCAACAGTTAGGGTAATGGCTATGTCGCTGAACTCCCATGGTTCGAGTCCTGGACTCAGTGGTTTAAACTCACGCCGGGTGCGCGTGCATGTGTGCCCAAGATCCCGAGAGGAGAATGGAGGAGAAGGGATTGCGGCATGGCCATCCCCTCTGGGAGGTGTTTTCTCGCTTTCTGTCTCTGTCTTTCTGGTGAGCACATGCGCCCTATGGCAAAAGGCTCTCCAAAAAACCAAAAAACAAACAAAAAAAAACCTTACCTGCGGCTGGCCCTATGGCCTGGTGGTTAAAGAAGGTGGATCCCACATGTCGGTTCTAGACCCAAACCTGGTGTCTTAGAGAAACACGTCAGGCACTGTTCATGTATGCCCCAAATTCCAACACGATGGAGAAATGGAGAAGGAATTGCAGCACAACCACACCCCAACAGGAGCTGCTTTCCCTTTTCTCTCTTTCTCTTTCTCTCTCTGGAAAGTGCATGTACATGCTAACAAATTTTTTCATAATGATTTAGTTTGATTTTCAGATTTTAGGTTTTGGAGTTTTGGGGGGTTTTTGTTTTTGTTTTTGTTTTTCTTTCTGTTTTGCTATAGGGCATATGCACTCACCTGAGACAGGAGGCAGAAACGCAATCCCTTCTCTTGGGATTCTTAGGCACGCACTCACACGTGCCCAGCATGCTTTTAAAGCCACCGGGTTGAAATCCAGAATTCAAACCATGCAGTTCACCATGTGGAACACAGCCACCTCAACCCCCTCACCATCACCCCCCAAAAATTAAAGTTAAAACAAAAGAAAACAAAACTCAGGGAGGGCCGGAAAGTGGCGTGGTGATTAAGGACACTGGACTTCCACATGGCTGACCACAGTTCACTTCCACATGGCTGACCACCGTTCGAGTCCCGGACCTGGTGGCTTGCTTTCTTACTTTCCCTCTCTCTCTCTCTCTGGTCAAATTAATTAATTAATTAAAGTAAAAAAAATAATTCTAAAAAAAAAAAAAAAAGCTCACCTGATTCCTGCAAGTTAAAAAAGATGTTACAGAGGTGATATCCAACATCACCAACTCCCCAAAACTGCCCACAGGGGCTCCAGCACCCCCTGGCAGGATAGACTGGGTAGAGGATGGCATCCTTTTTTTTTAAAATAATAATAAAAAAAAAGACAGAGAGACATAAAACAAGAAATCACCCCCCGGAGGGGATGGCCATGCCGCAATCCCTTCTCCTCCATTCTCCTCTCAGGATCTTGGGCATGCATGCACACGCGCCTGGCGTGAGTTTAAGCCACCGGGTCTGGGACTCAAACTGCAGTTGACTAAGTGGGAGTCCAGCGACGTAGCCATTATGCCATCTGCTGGTCCCAGAGGATGGCATTCTGACACCCTTTATCCCCCAGGACCCTTGATATGCTCACTGGAGATCCTGTGCTCTCAGAAGGCCCAGAGCCTGACAAGACCCCCACAGCCACGGTGGTGAGTAGGGGACTAGGGGACGGGAAGACAGGAAGGAGGAGCCTCAGGCAGAGAGGTCTCTGTTTGTTCCTGAACAGTCTTCTTCCCTGTCCTTCAGACCAGTGAAGCCAGCCGTTGGAGCAGCCCATCTTCAGAGGGCTCAGCACCCCTCACAGGTACAGGGGGGCATTGAAGCCAGGACAGTGGGGACAGGAAGGCGTCCTTCCTTCAACAAATTATCTCTGACTGCCTGGTCTGTGCCAGAAATCGTTCAGGTCTGAGGACACAGCAGCGCACCATGCAACAGACCTGAGCTCTGAGGTCTCCTGTCTGACTACAGAATCTGCTTTTGGTTTGTTTGAGATTTTTTTGGAGACGTTTTTGCTATAGGGCGCATGTGCTCGCCAGAAAGACAGAGACAGAGAGACAGAAAGTGAGAAATCACCCCCTAGGGGGGATGGCCACGCTGCAACCCCTTCTCCTCCGTTCTCCTTTCGGGATCTTGGGCACACACGCACACGTGCCCGGCGTGAGTTTTAAGCCACTGGGTCCGGGACGCGAACCGCAGTCAACTACGTGGGAGTCCAGCGACATAGCCATTATGCCAACTGCTGGTCCCCAGCTAGAGAATCTGTAAAATTGCAACCAGGACAAGTGATCCCAAAGGGGTGATGGAGGGAGCCACAGGACCTGGGTCTCGAATAGGGGCCACCGGTCTGATCTGGGACCTCGGAGAAGGCTTCTACAGGAAGACAGGGTTCAGAGGTTAAGCGCCCACCCCTCTGCCTCAGGAGAAGAACTGGACTTGCGCCTCATTCGGACTAAAGGGGGTGTGGATGCGGCCCTGGAATACGCCAAGACCTGGAGCCGCTACGCCAAGGAGCTGCTGGCCTGGACAGAGAAGAGAGCCAACTACGGTAAGGATCCCTCTGCCCAGCGCCAGGCCCCAGGCAGCGCCTGAACTCCAGCTAGACCCAGACCCCTTCTGTCTCTCCCCGCAGAGCTGGAGTTTGCTAAAAGCGTCATGAAAATGGCCGAGGCTGGCAAGGTGTCCATCCAGCAGCAGGTAATACCAGACCCCCTCCAGGACTCAAACCCCCTCCCCCGGGGACCCCAGCCCTACCCTTCCACATCCTCAGCATCCCTCTGCACGCTTCACCCCTCCAGAGTCACATGCCGTTGCAGTACATCTACACTTTGTTCCTGGAGCATGACCTTAGTCTGGGAGCCCTGGCCGTGGACACAGTGGCCCAGCAGAAGAGAGATTACTACCAGGTATGGGGGCCGGGCATCGTGGGAAAGAGGGCAGCCTGCTGTCATCCGCGTGTAATCCCGTCTTCCCAGCAACTCAGGAGGAAGGCATTGCTAGCTGCATGGTCGTTTTGCTGCTGAGGAAGCCGACACCCAGGGATGCTCAGGAACTTGCCCAAGGTTACCCAGCAGAGATCCAAACCGGGCTTCCTGTGCAGTTGCAAAACCGTGCTTTCGTTTGTTTGGGGAGGAGTGGTGACAGATGCTGAGTGTTCTCAGGAAGAAAACAAGCACCACCCCCCCCCCGCCACCCGAGACCAGCGCTTAGCGTAATGGCTATGTCGCTGGACTCCCACGTAGTCGACCGCGGTTCGAGTCCCGGACCCGATGGCTTAAACTCACGCCAGGCGCATGTGCATGCGTGCCCAAGATCCCGAGGGAGAATGGAGGAGAAGGGACTGTGGTGTGGCCATCCCCCCTGGGGAGTGATTTCTTGCTTTCTGTCTCTCTGTCTGTCTCTGTCTGTCTGGCGAGCACATATGCCCTATAGCAAAATCCTCTCCAAAAGAAAGAAAGAAAACAAGCCCCCCCCAACCCAGGTCCAGGCTAAAAGGATAAAGTAGCCACTGAGACTCTGCACAGGGACATGGGGAGGAGTAGGTCTGGGTGAGAAGACCCCATGGGAAAAATACAGACACAGAAAAAGGTCAAGGGGGCCCGATGGTGGCTCCACAGTAAAGCAGATTGCTTTAAGCGACTGACCCACCTGGGAGGGTTCCAGATTCGTGTCTAGAGACCTCCCTGAGTTCACCCTACTCACAAGTGCCCATGATCCAGGGCTGGCGAAAGCAGGGGGTGGGTCACTGCATTAAGCCCTTACTGGGGATTTTCTCTCTGTCTGTCTCTCTTTCACACTCACGGGAGAAATAAACTTTAAAAAGAAGAGAGTCGGGGCCAGCAGATGGCATAATGGCTATGTCGCTGAACTCCCATGTAGTCAACAGTGGTTTGAGTCCCAGACCCGGTGGCTTAAACTCACGCCGGACGCGTGTGCGTGCATGCCCAAGATCCCGAGAGGAGAGTGGAGGAGAAGGGATTGCGGAGTGGCCGTTCCCCTGTTTTTTTTTTGGTTTTTTTCACTTTTTGTCTCTCTGTCTCTGTCTGTCTGGCGAGCGCACGCGCCCTAAAGCAAAAACCTCTCCAAAAAAAAAAAAATTTAAGAGAGATTTTTGCTATAGGGTACATTTGCTTGCCCAGAGAGACAGAGAGACAAAAAGTGAAAAAAACCAAAAAAAAAACAGGGGAACGGCCACTCCGCAATCCCTTCTCCATTCTCCCCCCAGGATTTTTTAGGCATGCACACACACACCTAGTGTGAGTTTTAAGCCACCAGATCCAGGACTCAAGTCATGGTCGACTATGAAATAGTCCAGTGATGTAACCATTATGCCATCTGCTGGTCCCCAAAATAATTTTTAACACTCTTTTTTTAAGAACTATTTTATTAACTGTATTCATTTTCTTTTCATTTAAGCAGACAGAGACAAAGTGAAAAAACAACCCACCAGGTCAGGGACTCGAACTGCAGTCAGCCATGTGAGAGTACAACACCCCCTACCACCAAGTCAAACATCCCCTCCCCCAATTTTTTTGTTTGTTTGTTTGTTTTGTTTTATTTTAGAGATTTTCGCTATAGGGCGCGTGCGCTCGCCAGACAGACAGAAAGAGAGACACAGAGACAGAAAGCGAGAAATCACCCCCCAGGGGGGATGGTCACGCCGCAATCCCTTCTCCTCCATTCTCCTCTCGGGATCTTGGGCACACA